TTTTTTATATATATATATAATGTATTGAGTAAAAGCCTTGGACTGGGATCCCAGCACAGGGTTATATAGAGAAAGCCATACATATAGATGTGTATGTATCTCATGCATATGTATATTTTATTTTTATATATATATATACACACACAGAACATATATTTTTAGATGGGGTCAGGTACTCTGCTAAACAATCCATCTCCTGGCTTCCCACCACCCTTTTGCCAGGGAAGGCTTCACTTCCCCCAGGTTTCCCTGGAGGCAAAGGGCTCCTCCGTCGTGACCCGCAGGGTTGTCCCGCAGCCCAGGCCCCTGCAGTAACGGCCGTCCCGTCCCGTCCCATCTCATCCCATCCCGTCCCGGCCCATCCTGTCCCATCCCATCCCGTCCCATCCCATCCCGTCCCATCTCATCCCATCTCATCCCATCCCGTCCCGTCCCATCCTGTCCCATCCCGTCCCGTCCCATCCCGTCCCGTCCCATCTCATCCCATTTCGTCCCATCCCATCCTGTCCCATCCCATCCCGTCCCATGCAGGTCTTCGGGGCCCTGGAGAAAGCCAAAGAGAAGTATCGCCTGGAGGACTACTCGGTGAGCCAGATATCCCTGGAGCAAGTCTTCATGAGCTTCACTCGCTTCCAGCACTACACAGAGGACAGAGGGAAGTGAGCAGAGCCCCCAGGGGTGCCCTTCGTCACGGACTGGCCCTGCTGCCTATACATAGTATACATAGAGACAGTAATTTATATATCGGCGTGTCTTAAGCAATGTATAAATGTAAGAAACTTTTCACGGGGGAGGGGGCGGAGGGTGGCGTCCTCCCTTCTGCCGTCGGGAACACAAGTGGTGCGTGCGTGCCGCCGCGGCACGGGGTTTCTGGTGTGAGTGTGTGCGTGCATGTGCCACTTCCACTCTCTCCAGCCTTCGTTCCCATCCATCCAGCAAAAACAGGAAAAAGGGTTAAAAAAAAAAAAAAAAGCCCCCAAAGCAGGGGGAAGCCTGGCTGGTGGAGAGGGGGGTGTGGGGGATTGGGCTGGCGGAGGAGGAGCAGGACGCTGGCCCCAAACGGCACCGTGCTGCCCCGCGCCCCCGCCCAACGCTTGCGCCCGTCAGGACGCTGCTTCGTGGTCTTCGCCCGCATGTCGACGTGTTTCGTTAGGTGGTTTGCTCGTGGTTTTACAGGAGGCTGTCAAATAGCTTAGGTCCAAGCTGGTCGCTGGGTTAATTAGGATGCGCTGTGGTTGCCCTTAGAAGCGCTTTGTGTCTAGCTGGAGGGGACCCGTCTGTCCCCCGCGGAGCACGGAGGAGGCTCCAGCTCCTTTATCCTCTTGGAAAACATTGTCCCCTCCTGCCTGCCTGCCCGT